TTTTTCTTAAAGGTCACTCAACAGGCCCCAAGGAAAAGAAGGGCTTGGTCTAAAAAGTTTTATATTTCCTCTCACTTTTTTAAACATTGGAAAATCCATTTGGCTCAGAGAAATGAATAGTAAAAGGAGTTCTAACTACTTACAGCCAGCAAAGTGTAATGGAAAAAAGGCAAGAATATGGCTGGACATTATTTTCTTTTTGCTCAGCACATCCTGTCTTTAATCTGAAAGGTAAATAGGCCATGCCCAACATACCGACTCTTTTCAGGTGAAATTATCTGGGTTATAAAAACAAGCAACAACTGTGTCTCCATTATGCTTTAATTTGTGCCTGACAGAAATAGCTTCCAGAATAAATCAGAGAGGCAAAAACTGCTCACAGGGGAGCAAACCCACAAATTTTTCCTCCTTTGATAACGGACTTTTGTGAGGTTTTTTTTTCTTCATTTGAAGTATAACTGTGTGGTGTTATTATATCTGAAAGAGTATGTTGCAAATGCCAGAAAAGGAAAATTTGAATTTTCATGTTTCGGTTATTTAAATCCACGGGAGAGGGGAGATCGGGAGAGACAGTTTTTGCATATCATTAGTTAGTAGACTGACATCCCAGAGATTGAAGGAGATATCTAACCTTCAAGTATAAGAACGAATAGTTTTGTAACACCTCCGTCCATAACCCCACAGGATCGGCTTCTTCGGCTCCACAATGCACATAATAGTTCACATGGCTGTGAGCTCAGCCATGCTAATGAGAGCTATGCCCATGTGTGTCCTATAATTTTAGCCTTCCTTGCTTTATGCCACACTTTCTTCTGTATATTAAAGCTGATCAAACAGTCTAACAGAAACCATCATCAGAAGTAGGACATGTTAAGTTTCCTTTAACAAGAAACGACCTACCCTGATGGATTATTTGAAGCAACGTCCATCCCATTCCTTTCTCTGGATGTCATTTAAATCAAGAACTGCCTACATGGAACAATTTGAAGCAGCATTCTCCAGAGCCAAAGTTGTGGGGAAGTTACTGGGTATGCCTCTAAAAAGGTGGCGTGCTCAAATGGAAATGCCTCCTCAGGAGAAGTTAAACATGGTCCCCTTGCTTTTGTTCTAACTACGAGATTTCACAGAGCCTCTAGAATGCATTACAATCCTTCGGAGACAGGTGTAGAGAACATACCGGTTTCTGAGCTAATCTGACCATGAGACAGTTCAGTCAAGGATCACCTCCGTTTGACAGAGCTGGAGGTCCACAGAACACACGTGGGTTGGGGCGCCTATTGGAAGGCCCCATCTCCCTAAGGATAGGGAATGAGCTGGCTCACATCGAATGGTCAGGTCAGACACCGCACACCTATCCACACTGCTCTCCCAGAGCGCACGGATCTTGGGAACAGAAAGAATTTAAGCTCACAGTAACATGTTTCTTAGGGGAAACAGGATGAGGACAGAATGTATAAAAAGCTTTATTAAATTATGAAAGTACACCAGTAGAAGACTGTGTCCATCAGGGGGACCATTCCGTTTGGACACTCTCATAATGAGGAAGGGAGGGAGACGGACCTCAGCAAAACCATCTTAAAGGCACGGTATGCACAAGAAGTCTTTCCCAGCCAGTACTTAGAAGATGTCATCCAATCATATTTAAAGCTGGAAATTAGTAGTATGTGGCCAATTAAAACATGTCACATTTCTTTTCAGCCTTGAAAATGCAAAACCCATTTGATATCTTTACTATCAATACTGAACATGTAATATTGAGGTGCAAATTAAAATGCGGGGGGATTAGACACATTTTTTAATCGTTTTTTAAAAGTTCGAGTGTCAGGGGCGCCTGGGTGGCTCAGTCGGTTGACTGGTCGACTTTGGCTCAGGTCATGATCTCACAGTTCGTGGGTGGGTTCGAGTCCCGCGCCGGGCTCTATGCTGACAGATCAGAGCCTGGAGCCTGTTTCAGATTCTGTGTCTCCCTCTCTCACTGACCCTCTCCTGCTCACGCTGTCTCTCTCTCTCTCTCTCTCTCTCTCAGAAATAAGTAAAGAAACATTAAAAAAAATTTTAAAGTTCTAGTGTCAGAGGGATATCAAAACTAGCAAGCCACTGGACTTTCCAGTTTGGAGCATTCCCCGACAACGAGGAAGTAAGATCATAGATGACAGAACACTCTCATTGTCCTCACTCATACCCTCAAACTGCCAAGGAGAACCGAGAAGCCATTGTGTTGTTTTTAACTGGGAACGGAGATCTCATGCACCAATACTTGTGATGGCGTCGGCTCCTCGTCAATACGAGATGCCGCCTCTGCGTGTGGACCTCTACCCAGTGCCGATGCACAAACGTGAATCCTGAACTGTTAGGTCTCATAGCAAAACCCACACTCCAGATCCTGCTTTTCACACATCAGTGACCCCCAGACAAAAACTTCCATCCTGCCTTTAACCAAACACTGCTTCTGACGCCTTTGTTTCAAGGATTAGCGAGGGTCCGAAACATACGTGAGAAGGTCAGAAAGAATCGTTTCTGAGGCACGGCATTCCACAGCAAAGCAAGACCAAAGGAAACGGAAGCCTTCCCTCAGGGACAAGGTCATTTCCTTAAGCAACACACACTCATGACGCGAGGAAGAAGCAAGCACACGCGCCACAGAGCGAGGCGTCCTCCTGACAGCCTATTACGCCTGCAACACCCCCAACCTGCACTCCACCCTCCTCGTCCTGCTCGGCCTTCTCTCTAAGCCTATTATCCCATCTGATGCAACTAACCCATTTATTATGTTTATTGTTTATTACACAACTGCCTTCGATAGAATATAAGCTCCGAAGAGCCAGGATCTCTGCTGGTTTTTCTTAAGTTGAGAAATCCCAGTGTCTGGCACAGTTCCTGGGACACAGGTGATGCTGGATAAGAGCTACTACTTGTTATCTTTGGATCCCAGAGTTCAAAACTTAAGGAAAGGATTAAGTCACTTTCTTTTTTTTTTTTTTTTATTTTTTAATTAAGAGGGAGAGAAAGAGAGCATGACCAGAGAGAGGGACAGAAGGAGAAGGAGAGGGAGAGAAAGAGAGAGAGAGAGACAGAGAGAATCCTAAGCAGGCTCCCTGCTCAGCACAGAGCCTGACATGGGGCTCGATCTCACCACCCTGGGATCATGACCTGGGCCAAAATCAAGAGCCAGATGCTTAATGGACTGAACTACCTAGGCGTCCCTAGTCACTTTCCTTTTTACCTAAAAATCATTCCAAGGCTTCTCTCCACTCTAATCCTCCATCAAAAAGTGTTTTTTAATCAGTATAAACAAGTTTGAGAGCATGACATGTTGATTAAATCAGCTAACAAGAGATAGAGCAAAATTTATTTCACCTTAATTTGTTAATCTATTTTAAAAAGTATGCTTAGTAAACATACCTCTTTATAATGATTCTACCTCCTTAATGATTCCTTTGTCCTTGATTCCCCTGATTTAAGCACTGGTCGCTGTACCTGAACTATTCAATTTCCTTCTCAAGTCAGGGCACGAAACCTGCATTTCTCTGGTGGTTATTACACTTTACGTCTACTAAATACTAACAGTCTGCCCAGATGAGGCCCTACCAAAGCACAGATAAATGGCAAATATTGTAACTTAGGCATCAGGCCTCTGCCATGCTGAGATGCCAATATATATCCTTCAAGACTCTTAATCCATCCTCAGGTTAAAAGACTAGTTGACTTAAGTACATACAGGAGAGAGGCAGGTAATACAAACAGAGGAAAGATCATCTATTTCGGGGCCTACAAATATAGGCCCAGAGTAGCTAGATCTTACTACTTTTTCATGAAATTTCCCAATTGGGGATCCAAATATAAATGTGTTGAGCCCAGGGTGGCTCAGTCGGTTGAGCGTCTGATTTCGGCTCAGGTCATGATCTCATAGTCCGTGAGTTGGAGCCCCGCGTCAGGCTCTGTGCTGACAGCTCAGAGCCTGGCGCCTGCTTCGGATTCTGTGTCTCCCTCTCTCTCTGCCCCTGCCCCCTCTCACACTCTGTCTCTCTCTGCCTCTCAAAAAAAATAAACATAATTAAAAAAAAAATGTGTTGAGCCCAGAGGCGGCCCATGGGCATCAATTTGCAACTGTTGTTTAAGGCCTCAGCTCAGAGGTCACTGCCACCAGGATGCCCCCTCCCACCACCCCATTGGTATGCTACATCTAGCTACCCCTGACTTTGCCACACTTGGACAGTCCCTTCAATTAGCCCATCTTCCCTATGGGAAGTATCTCCTTCACTGCTGTGGACCCCACATCCTGCAGAGTGCCCGGCACACGGTGGGAGCTCAAAAGATAACTGAATAAATGAAAATTTGAGTAAGACCACTGGGTTCACACTTCCAGTAGCCAGAATTCAACAGTCCGTTTCCTATCTTCACACCTTAATCGACCAGCCTTCAGGGAAATGTGCGATCAAGGTCACAGACTTTGATACCAAGCGTCAGACTAAAAGGGGCAAGCCCAGCCCTGCAGATCTATCTACACACTCTCTTTGTTATGAGACGAAAGTACCATCCAGCATGTTGTGAAAATAGAAAAAAAAGGAGATAATCACAAAGTAAGAGATTTATGTATCATGTGCTTTGTAGGAGATGAGCAAGTATATGAAAGAAAATTCAGTTAATTGCTACCGGATCTCTCCATCATTCAATGCCTTACAGATGGGCGTTAACTAAAAATGTGTTAAAAAAAATTCCTATTTTGTTTCTTACCTAGCGCTTTAAGAACAGATTCCTCTTATTCAACCAGTAATTAAACCGCACACATACATTATACTTTACCTAAAAACAGTAAATACCAGATTTACCATTCCAGACACTACTTGGAAACAGATCCAAACGTGGAATCGCTCTCCAAAACAGAAGCCTGTTGTAGCAAACCCTGGCCTCTCAGAAAGCCACAGAAATCTACCGTGTGCTCTGACAGCCCTCCCCTTGGTATTTTCTCACCCGTGATGAAAGCTTCAAGGAAAACTTACATCTGTGCAGAAGACGCAGTGGCATTCCTGGAGTGTGGTCATCTTGTCCAGGGACTGTTCGCACAGGCAGAGTTTGCAAGTGACGAGGGGGGACGGAGCCAGGTCTCCCGGCGTCGGATTTTCGGTGGTCATGGTGAGATAGTGGAACGTACCAGCCGAGCCCATCAGCCCGTCCTCAGCCGTCTTCAGTCTCCTCAACCCCTACGGGAAGGACCAAAGCAGAAAATATTATATTCATTAATGCGGCTGTGGTTTAGCCATCACATTCAGGCACCAACAGAGCAAACCTTCACCTTATGTGATCTCTAGCAACACAGGAAAGGCATCTCTGAGAGCCATGGGCTATAGAGCCTGCCACTTTGACAAGATGCTCCTGGAGGCCTGAAATGGAAAGGGGCCTCACCATCCTGACTCATATCATCTACGTTATGGAAATGAAAAGACCACAAGGAACAAACACGCCCTTCACGAGTTGTATTCTACAATCCAACAGGTTAAAAAAAAAAAAAAAAAGATACTTGAAAATAGGATGTCACTCAGAAAATTACACAAAGAACGACCCTAAAATCCAACAATTCTGTTTCTCCATGTACACCCAAAAGAATTGAAACCGGGATGGAAACAGACATTTGCACACCAACGTTTATAGCACCGTTATTCGCAATCAGCCGAAAGGTGGAAACACTCTAAATGCCCATCAAGAGACAAATGGATAAACAAAATGTGATACGAACATTCAATGGAATATTATTCAGCTTTAAAAGGGAATTAGATTCTGACACATGCTACAATACAGATGAACCTTAAAGACATCATGCTAAGTGAAATAAGCCAGACACAGAAGGGCAAATATCACACAATTCCATCAATATGAGGGATCTAGAGCAGTCAAATGCAGGGACTTTAGAAAGTAGAAAGGTGAGGCTGGGAAAGGACAGAATAGAGAGTTACCATTTAATGGGTACAAAGTTTCTGTTTGGAGTGATGGCAAAGTTCTGGAAATTGAGAGTGTGATGGTTACACGACACTGCGAGTGTACTTCATGCCACCGAATTACACACTTAAGACGACTGAAATAGATTTCATACCAATAAACTTTCTTCAACAGGGGATCAGTGCTAACTGTGTTCCATCACATGTGTCATTGCATTGACTCTTCTGCAACCGTGATGATTATTTCCTTCACCTTACAGGGATGTTAAATAATCTGCCCAGGTTCCCAGGGCTTGTATACAGCAGAGCAAAATTCAAACTGCCATCTTCTGAGACCAAGCCCAGCCCTGGTCCCTTACACCCGAGAGTGGATATTACGTGGAGGGATGAAATGCGGAGAGAGTGAAGTTAGAAGAGGTAGGGAGAGAGAAGAAAAGAAATTAAAAAAAAAGAGAGAGAGAGAGAGAGAGACAAACAGCCAATGATTACATCTATTGTAAGGTCACCAAAACTGCAGAGTAAAATCTGTCTCCAAACATGGCAAGACTATAGGAAAGGATTTTCCTACACTGAAAAATAAAAACTATAGCTGAAGCTCTTCCACTTGTTTTTATTCAAATTATCTTTAAAAGAGGTAAAAAAAAAATCATGAAAGTAATCGTCTATAGTTCATAACGTCATGAAATTTCATGTTTTAATTAAAGAGAAGCAAAATCCTGAAGTTCTTACGATTTCAAAAGAGTGTGGCCAATCCTAATAAATTTCGCCACATAAATAACTGTAAATACCCTCTCCCCCTGTAAGAACCAGATTCTTCTCATCCCCATTTTGGAGCAAAACAAATTCCATGTTTGGCATCTGTTGCGTAGCCCCACGGTGGCTTAGGTCTCAACAAAGAGGTACAAAAGTATGACAAGGGAGGAAAAAACAAATTGTATTGGATGGAGAGAAAAAAGATCTAGGAGATCTAACTGCACTAACTTTCTTAATGTCATACCAGAAAGGATCACCAGTTACTATTAACTCTAGTAACCTGAAATCGTCCAGGCTTTTAACCTACTCCCTGATTGGTAGTAGACTTGATTAAAAATAAATTTAAATAGGGAGCTAATCAATGATTGGCTTCCATGAGAATATTTCTTGGGAAAGGCCCTAGAAGGTTTAAGACGTGGTATTCTTATTTAACTGTTAATGAGCTACTATCCAAGAGCAAATTAACTACATCTCAATTTCAGGATTTAAGTTAAACAAAAAATATCTCTCTTTAGGGTCAATCAGGAGCAAAAATGAGTGTTTTTACCTCTCCACTTTCCAGCTGATGCTGACACAACTATCACCAGTTCATTTCTACAAGACACCTCAGGTCCATAACACACATATCTCCAATTTCCCCCAACTGCTGTCTTCACATTTCTATTTTCCCAACATGGCGTATACAACATATGCTGATGATCTCTGCCCACAAAAAGGGAAATCTCAAGTCAAACATCAAGAAGAAACACAGCCAGTACACTAATTGTGAGGAGCACTGAGTAGTGCACAGAACTGTGGAATGATCTTAGTGTAGCCCTGAAACTACTAGAACACTGTATGTTAATGACACTGGAACTGAAATGTTAAAGCTTAATAAAGTTTGTTTTAAAAAGGAAGGAGGAAGAGGGGGAGGAGAAGGCTGTGACAAAGGAGAAGAAATGTAGCCAGTAAATGCTTCTGGAAGGAAGAGGGGACTGATACAGGGCAGAACCTCCCCACACCACTAATGTCAATTACGGGAAGAGCCCATTTGGAGGAAGCTGCTATGAACAGGTAAATCCTGCCGTGCCAACCTAGCAGGAGACGTAGGAATTCTTCAGCAAAGCCAATTATCTCTTACAGTCTCAATCTACATTATTTTTTTTTAATTTTTAAGATTAAAGAAAAAAATTTTTTATCTCTACTCCCAATGTGCCCATGTGGGGCTTGAACTCATGACCCCAAGCCCGAGAGTCGCAGGCTCTACCGCCTGAGCCAGCCAGGTGCCCCTAGACTATTTTTTAGAAAGAAACATAGAACACTCACAAAATGAAGACATATTTGAATACTCCTTAGATTGTCTCTTAGAAATGGTCTATTGAGGGGCGCCTGGGGCACCCAATTAGTTGAGCATCCAACTGCAACTCAGGTCATGATCTTGGCATTCATGAGTTTGAGCCCCGTGTCTCACTCCCTGCTGACAGAGCAGGCCCGCTTCAGAGCCTCTGTCCCCCTCTCTCTGACCCTCCTCCACTCACACTCTTTCTCTCAAAAATAAATACTTTAAAAAAGTTAATCCTGAAATAGTCTTATCTCCTGCCTTGCTCCTTACTTTGTGAGTTACAAACCAAAGTTATAAAAATACAAAAGTATCTATTACCTCCAAAAGTTTCCTCCTGTCCCCTTATTTGTCATTATTTGTGTGTGCGTGTGGGTGTGTGGTAAGAGCACTTAACATAAGATCTCCCGTCTTAGTGGGGTGCCTGGGTGCCTCAGTTGCTTGTGTCTCTTAGTTTTGGTTCAAGTCATGATCTTGAAGATAGCGGGTTCAAGCCCTGCATTGGGCTCTGAGCTGGCAGCACAGAGTCTGCTTGGGACTCTCTCTCTCTCTCTCTCTCTCTCTCTCTCACTCACTCTCACTCTCTCCCTCCCTCTCTTCATCCTTTTCTTGCTACACTATCTCTCTTTCAAAATAAACTTTTTAAAAAAGTCTACCCTTTTTTTGTTATGCTTAACAAATTTTTAAGTATACAATGTAGCATTGTCAGGGACAGGCATTATGCTGTTCTTCAGGCACATGTTTATCTAATTCATCAAGCCAAGTCATCTACATTAAGTATGTACAGCCTCTTGTCTCTCAATCATGCCTCAGTAAAGGATTTTAATATCCATACACACAACTTTTTAAACTATATTTTATCTATAAGAATATTTCGATGACAAAAGCCTTTTCCAAAGCACAGACTTGTTTTGTTAAAGCAACAACAAAAATTCCAAGCATTCCAAACAAGGCCATACTTGTGACTGAGACAGAGGAAGGAAGTCACATATTTCATCTCTTTGAGAGGTGAACAGTCCAAAATGATTCTTCAAAAAGGGATTTATTTCCCTGTGAGCAATAAGACCAATTCCCTGAAGTGATGGCCTTCAAACATGTTCAAGGCAATGGAATTTAACAAAAACAGAATCTGGAGTAAACCTAAAAGAGGTGAGGTGGCCAGTGCTGGTGGAAGGGGACAGGGAGAGCCAGGCCACATCCCCGGGACCCTTCTCTGCACAGCCACCAGGCACCATCACGGATGCTGAAGCCTTCACCAGGCACAGTGTGAAAGCCTGCTTTTTGAGTTTTCACCCTGGGCAAAATCAGTAATGAAGGTTTTAAAACTGAATGACACAGGGCATCTGGGTGGCTCAGTCAGTTAAGCGTCAGACTTCAGCTCAGGTCACAATCTCGTGGTTCATGAGCTCGAGCCCCACACCAGGCTTTGTGCTTACAGTTCGGAGCCTGTAGCCTGCTTCAGATTCTGTGTCTCCCTCTCTCTCTCTGCCCCTTCCCAGCTCACTCTCATGCTCTCTCTCTCTCTCTCTCAAAGATAAACATTAAAGAAAATTTTTAAAGTGAATGACACATGCTGAGTGCTTCATAAAAAGAAAATAATATCAAACCAGAAAATCCTTTCACCTTTGATTCCTTACAGACAAAGCCTTTCAAGCAATAATCAGGAGGGTCCTGAAGTTCTCTCCTTTGAGCTGTCGGGAGGGGCTCCAAGGTGTCCTAGGGTCCCTTCATGTACATCTTGTTAGGATTCCCTGGTCTCCGCAACACGGAACCACCAAGAGAAACTCAGCTGCCCCCCCAAACCATGAGCAAACGGCATGAAGCTCACAGGGGGTGTCCAGAGGAAGCTGACCCCGCCCCCCCCCCCCCACAAACGCCGGCAGCTCCCGACCCTTTCACGGCTCCACGCGTTTACAGGTACACTGACCGTTCACACCGCTCCCTTCCAGGTTTCAGGGACAGCCTTCGTCCAGCGAGCCAGTGGTAGTTAGCTCTCACTGGCTTGCTCAACCCGTTCCGCCTCATACCTCACAGTTCACCTCAAAGAAGAAAGTGACCTGAATGGTCCACCCTCCCTCCTGCTTGTTTTAAAATGGTAACGAGGATCGTTGCTTTCACCATTATTGCAAATGTGACCCAGCCTCCCTTCTCCCGTGTCAGGAACCCAACAAGAAAAGAATTTTGGCAGAGAAGGTGG